AATATAAAAACTTCTTGGTTGTTTTCCCAAACCCTAAAGGGCGGCCTTGGCAAAAGTTAGAGCGCAAAAGGAGAGAGTTAATACTCCAGTGAACCTGAACCGAACTACGTAAGGCCTGATTTCCATCTTCGGGGCGGATGGTGGTGATTTGGATAGAGTGAGAGTTGGATGTTTTCACCGGAATGGCAGCGGCAGGGGTTGAAGTGGTTTCGGACGTGACTTCCGACATGGCTATGACGGTTTTAGGGCTGCTGTGTTTTTTGTTGCTCTGATACCAACTTAGAAAATATGAGGAAGAAGAACTCCGAAAATATGAGGAAGAAGGAATATATTTCTGTTATATTCAAAACTTCTTATTTTACAAGACCAAATGACACTCCTTATATAGGAGATATTACAAACATCATTATAACCCATTATATGCCACTTACATATTATATATTACCCACCAACACCACTATCATATTCTATACATGCCACTATCTGCCACCAACACCACTATCATATTATATACATGCCACTATCTTATTATATACATTAACACAAATTTCTAGCAATAAGTGGCATTCAAGAAACAGAAAACTATATTGCAAAAATATTATTAGCATTATTATTTTTTCAATTGCAACAAGAAGATGTTCAAGGAAAACAGACCATCTTATGCATCATTTCTCTCTGTTGTACTCCACATGTATAACAGGGCGAAGGCAAGCTGAGAGATAATTTAATAATTTTCATTTGTCAAAAGCACCTGAAGTCAAAGAAGTGACAACAGTGTTTTTCCTAATCTTTGACACTTGTACATGGAGGACAGCATACATGAAGTGGTAACAGAGAACAGAGAAGAGAGTACTCTAATCCTAGAATCCTGAAGCACGCAAGTCTTATATAGAGTAAGGGTCTTTATACAGATATTACTAACAAATGGGGACATTTAAATTATTACACATAGTTGGGTTAGGCTGGGTTGTTTACACCTCTTCTCATCCCCAAACAAGTTTTGGTGTCCCACCCCCAAACCTGATCCTACTCCAATTAAACCCTCCCAAAATATCCAAATACAGTTGAGGTGGGATGGAGATTCAGAAAGTTGGGTAAATTTTCCATTTAATACACACAAGCATCAAGCATATTATCTTCTCCCAAGTTATTAACCAACACATAAACAATAATTTGTTCATTAAGTTAATGGTGAGCAAGAATAATAGCATTAAAATTCAAAAGGTAACCTGTAAGAAATAATGTATAGAGAAAGAGAGAGAATAAATTGTATGTATTATTATTGATTGATGTAATGTTATTTCTTTTACAATGATTCATGATTCCTATATATAGAAGAGGGTGAGTGTGTAGTGGGTGAGGAGTAGGTGAAGTGGAGGTGGTAGTGGTGTAGTGGGTTAGGTTTAGTGGAGTAGGTTTAAGTGGGGGAAGGTTTAGTGGAGTAGGTGAGGTGGTAGTGGTGTAGTGGGTTAGGTTTAGTGGAGTAGGTGAGATGGTAGTGGTGTAGTGGGTTAGGTTTAGTGGAGTAGGTGAGATGGTAGTGGTGTAGTGGGTTAGGTTTAGTGGAGTAGGTGAGATGGTAGTGGTGTAGTGGGTTAGGTTTAGTGGAGTAGGTGAGATGGTAGTGGTGTAGTGGGTTAGGTTTAGTGGAGTAGGTGAGATGGTAGTGGTGTAGTGGGTTAGGTTTAGTGGAGTAGGTGAGATGGTAGTGGTGTAGTGGGTTAGGTTTAGTGGAGTAGGTGAGATGGTAGTGGTGTAGTGGGTTAGGTTTAGTGGAGTAGGTGAGATGGTAGTGGTGTAGTGGGTTAGGTTTAGTGGAGTAGGTGAGATGGTAGTGGTGTAGTGGGTTAGGTTTAGTGGAGTAGGTGAGATGGTAGTGGTGTAGTGGGTTAGGTTTAGTGGAGTAGGTGAGATGGTAGTGGTGTAGTGGGTTAGGTTTAGTGGAGTAGGTGAGATGGTAGTGGTGTAGTGGGTTAGGTTTAGTGGAGTAGGTGAGATGGTAGTGGTGTAGTGGGTTAGGTTTAGTGGAGTAGGTGAGATGGTAGTGGTGTAGTGGGTTAGGTTTAGTGGAGTAGGTGAGATGGTAGTGGTGTAGTGGGTTAGGTTTAGTGGAGTAGGTGAGATGGTAGTGGTGTAGTGGGTTAGGTTTAGTGGAGTAGGTGAGATGGTAGTGGTGTAGTGGGTTAGGTTTAGTGGAGTAGGTGAGATGGTAGTGGTGTAGTGGGTTAGGTTTAGTGGAGTAGGTGAGATGGTAGTGGTGTAGTGGGTTAGGTTTAGTGGAGTAGGTGAGATGGTAGTGGTGTAGTGGGTTAGGTTTAGTGGAGTAGGTGAGATGGTAGTGGTGTAGTGGGTTAGGTTTAGTGGAGTAGGTGAGATGGTAGTGGTGTAGTGGGTTAGGTTTAGTGGAGTAGGTGAGATGGTAGTGGTGTAGTGGGTTAGGTTTAGTGGAGTAGGTGAGATGGTAGTGGTGTAGTGGGTTAGGTTTAGTGGAGTAGGTGAGATGGTAGTGGTGTAGTGGGTTAGGTTTAGTGGAGTAGGTGAGATGGTAGTGGTGTAGTGGGTTAGGTTTAGTGGAGTAGGTGAGATGGTAGTGGTGTAGTGGGTTAGGTTTAGTGGAGTAGGTGAGATGGTAGTGGTGTAGTGGGTTAGGTTTAGTGGAGTAGGTGAGATGGTAGTGGTGTAGTGGGTTAGGTTTAGTGGAGTAGGTGAGATGGTAGTGGTGTAGTGGGTTAGGTTTAGTGGAGTAGGTGAGATGGTAGTGGTGTAGTGGGTTAGGTTTAGTGGAGTAGGTGAGATGGTAGTGGTGTAGTGGGTTAGGTTTAGTGGAGTAGGTGAGATGGTAGTGGTCTTGAATGTAAGCAAATGGTTGTTCTTAATATCTGAATTCTTATAGAAATTCAATAGACAAAATTGATCTTTCATCATTCAACTCTACCCTACCAATTCAGTTTGAAAGTTTATTGCATTTAACCTAAAAGGAGAATTTCAATTCTCAATATGAATGAAAACATTACAACACTACTATTATTACTATCCCTATTGGTCCAGTCAGATACCAAAGAGAAACACAATATACTATCAACTAGATCATCTATTATGAATGAACAGAATAAAAAAATCACCAAAGAGATAGAGGCATTGCTTAGCATTTAGCAACCAATATGAAAAATATATCTGAGTCAGAGGTTAGTAGTATTAACCAAATTGATGAATTATGTGAAAGTTAATAAGCAAGCAACAGGATTGATCTCTTGTTCCAATTGTTGCAACCTCTGAAATCATTGTACTTTTAATTGTGATTTTTGGAGTGATATTGTCTATCAAGTTAACACAATAATTTGCATTGCCAAAACCATGAAATCATTAAGGTATTAACGATGAAAGCAAAGCAAATGCAGGCCAAATTAGCCCAAAAACATGCATCACAAGATGAATACAAGGTTTAGGAAAGCAGCCACCATCATACCTACCTTCATTTTGGAAACATCATCTTTGATATTCTTTTGAAGCTCCAAGCACTACTCATTAATCCGAGTGGAGTTCCCAAGCTTCAAAACCTCTTGAACAAAATTTCAATATGAAAATTTCAATATCAGAACTCCTGAAACAAAATTTCAATATCAGAACCTCTGGAATTTACCTCATCTCCCATTTCCCGTAGATATCTAATAAAATTCTAGAGTTAGGTTTAGTGGAGTAGGTTTAAGTGGGTGAAGTAGGTGGAGAGTATGTGGATTTAGTGGGTTAGGTTTAGTGGAGTAGGTTTAAGTGGGTGAAGTAGGTGGAGAGTATGTGGATTTAGTGGGTTAGGTTTAGTGGAGTAGGTTTAAGTGGGTGAAGTAGGTGGAGAGTATGTGGATTTAGTGGGTTAGGTTTAGTGGAGTAGGTTTAAGTGGGTGAAGTAGGTGGAGAGTATGTGGATTTAGTGGGTTAGGTTTAGTGGAGTAGGTTTAAGTGGGTGAAGTAGGTGGAGAGTATGTGGATTTAGTGGGTTAGGTTTAGTGGAGTAGGTTTAAGTGGGTGAAGTAGGTGGAGAGTATGTGGATTTAGTGGGTTAGGTTTAGTGGAGTAGGTTTAAGTGGGTGAAGTAGGTGGAGAGTATGTGGATTTAGTGGGTTAGGTTTAGTGGAGTAGGTTTAAGTGGGTGAAGTAGGTGGAGAGTATGTGGATTTAGTGGGTTAGGTTTAGTGGAGTAGGTTTAAGTGGGTGAAGTAGGTGGAGAGTATGTGGATTTAGTGGGTTAGGTTTAGTGGAGTAGGTTTAAGTGGGTGAAGTAGGTGGAGAGTATGTGGATTTAGTGGGTTAGGTTTAGTGGAGTAGGTTTAAGTGGGTGAAGTAGGTGGAGAGTATGTGGATTTAGTGGGTTAGGTTTAGTGGAGTAGGTTTAAGTGGGTGAAGTAGGTGGAGAGTATGTGGATTTAGTGGGTTAGGTTTAGTGGAGTAGGTTTAAGTGGGTGAAGTAGGTGGAGAGTATGTGGATTTAGTGGGTTAGGTTTAGTGGAGTAGGTTTAAGTGGGTGAAGTAGGTGGAGAGTATGTGGATTTAGTGGGTTAGGTTTAGTGGAGTAGGTTTAAGTGGGTGAAGTAGGTGGAGAGTATGTGGATTTAGTGGGTTAGGTTTAGTGGAGTAGGTTTAAGTGGGTGAAGTAAGTGGAGAGTAGGTGGATTTTAACATAACCTTACATATATGCATGTCTATATGTTATCTATACATAGAATAGGAATATATATGTGCAATCTAAAGAGCAAGGGACTACCGATGAAATGCATGTTGGGATGGTTGTCTCACTATCCTTTCTCTGCTTTAGCGTCTCTAACAAAATATCTGCGTCCATTTCTTCAAGCTGATCACCCTCTGTTAAATATAGGATTACAAACTAGAAATGGTGAATACTAAAGCAAATACATAGACCAAGTTTATCTAGTGCATGTTCATGCTTCCAAATTCTGTGCTTGCAGATAGTTTTCACTGTTGAAAGTAAAAGAACAGGGAATTGTGCACAAACCAGTCACACTTCTCTGAAGCATTACACAACCATCTTTGCCTAAGGTCGCGATCACAAATTTAATATTTGGTAACCTCAAAAGCATGGACACAAGTGCAGTTGGAACAGATGGCGCCTCCGTCCATGCCTGCTAGGCAAGAATTATGTCCATTATTATCCATGTAGTTCAAATTAAGCCAGCAATATAATTGTACAAATCATATGGACTAGAGATTTAAAAGAACAAATTCTACCTCATTGACAGGAGAACAAAGATATTTTAACTTGAAATTAATCGATTACATGAAACCACAAGTCAAATGTCTACATTTTTTTTTTGGATTGGCAACAAGAGAAATATTATTAAAAAGAAGAAAGGTACAAGAGAAACGGGAGAACAAGGGGTCTCCAGCGAAAAAAAAAATGAAAGGCAAAAACAAAGAACAACCAATATCTCACAGAACAAATCACACACTGCCTTGTGATCATATATCCTAGGATATCAATAAAACAATCAACATGAAGGGTTTCAACATAATATTTTTGCAGTGTGATAGATGGATAACATGTTGGAGGTGGTATAATAAGAGAGATCCAGAGCATGAGTTTTCCTCTGCACAGTACATGAACAAACATTGTTTAGGCATAGTTTTATTTATTGCCTGCAGGGCTGAACATAACAGAAAAACAGATTTCTAATTATATTTGAAGTTCATGCTTTTCTCGTTTCACTGCAAACATTCATTAACCAGCCTGAAAATGTTGACAAAAACTAAAATACTTGATTACCATGGACAATCTGGAGATCCTTATAGTCAATATGCAGCAAACTATACTACTAACGATCTTGTGTAAATATTTTTACAATGCTATTTTCTTGATATATCCCATTGATTGTAAGATGTTCTTATTCTTTCAGGAATGCACAAACTTCCAATTACATCTGTTGAGTTTGACACACTGGTGGACCCAAAAATACAACATTTATTGATAACACTCTAGTACACCAAACACTTGTACACAATCACACACTAATACACTTCACTTATCCACTCACACATACATTCAAGCACTCACTTTGTGTCTTTCTCACATAAGACCTTGAGACACTTCACACTAGATAGTGCTTGACTACTCACTTTGGAGTCACTCTTCTTTTACTCAATTGTCCAATTACCTAGTACATGCACTCATTTCATATTTATATTAGGTAAAGAACTTTCTAGAATACACTCATATTTACTCTACACTCTAGAACAATCTAATTTACTCTAGTATATATTAGAGCTTTCTATTTTTCTCTAAAATATTCTAGAACCTTCTGGAACTTTCTAGATTTCTCTAATTTTTTACAAACTTCTTTAATGTTCTAGAACCTTCTAGGATATTCTAGAATCTTCCGGATTTCTCTAGGTCTTTCCAAAATCTTCTAGATCTTTCCGGAGTATTCTAGATTCATGTAGAAACTTCTAGAATATTTTAGAGAGAAGATTCTAGAGAGTGAGGAGAGTTAGTAATGACTCTCAACACTCCTCCTCAGCACTAAGGGCTCGTTTGGGAAGGGAGGGTTTGGGCTTTTTTGGATAAAATAGGCATAGAAAAACAAAATAGGCTTTTTAGTCCAATAAGACAAAACATCATATCCAACCCATAATCATTATATTCTTTTTCTCACAAAAAGCCAAAAGCCTTTCCCAAATGAGGCTTTTAGCCCCAGGCTAAAAAAACTAAAAAGCCAACCCACTTCCCAAATGAACCCTAACTCTCATTTCTAAATTATGTAACCATACCACAGTGTTTTAGAAACTCTTCGTAAGTATATTTGCACCCTGGTCCTTTGCCACGATAATCTTTGTCTCCATCTCTTCCAATATTGACTTCCCTCTTTTGAAATGATTTATTCTTCCATGGAACACCACGTCTTTGGCTAGCTGTAGGATTCTCATCCTTCCATTTAGATAGCAAGTGTCACGTTTGAATATGTATTGATGCATCAATATCTTCTTTTGCTGTCTTCCTCCAATTGTTAAATTTTGTTGTTTCTTGAAATGTTATTGGTTCCTTTGTATCATCTATCTTAGCAAAGGTTGCATCAATGTACCTTGGATTAGGTTGGCATTGCCTTGTAGATATTGGATGTTGCAACTTTATCACTTTTTCAACTATTTCTTCTTCTGTTTGCTCCCCCAACTTCTCTACTAGGTGAGCTTCTGGATCTTTAAATGTTGAAAACTGAGACTCAATTACAAGAATCGACTTATCTGTGATAGAGTTGGCATCCACTTCCTTGGTAATTGCATTGCACTGCTCATGTACGCCTTCATCGAAGTCTATCTCCTCATCTGAATCTGCTTGAGTAACCACGAACATTGTAGGAGATGCTTCAAAATCCCATTCTTCTTCAAATTCTGGCTCTTCTTCTAAGTAACCTGGTTCTACGGTCTCGAAAATTGCACATGAAGCTTGGAAATCCCATTCTTATTCACTCTCATCTTGGTAACCGTTAGATGTTACCATATTACCTTCAATTGGTCTTCTTCTTAACCGACAATCTTTTGCATAGTGGCCAATCTTGCCACATTTGAAGCACTCTATGTTGCGTCGTCCAAATCTAGTAACTCTTCGATTATTTTCATTATGTCGAACTTCTCCTCGTTGATAACTTCGATCAGCTTGTGATTGTTCATCTTCTTTTTTCTTCGATTTTTCATATTCTTGCCACTTCGGTCCATCTCCTTTTTTGTTACTGAATGACACCTCTTCTTCACTTTCATTCTTCAGTGTGACTCCAGCCATTTGCTTTGCTAGAGTTTCTTGATTCGCCAATAGACTTTCGAGCTCAACCAGTGATGGTTGAGTGGACTATCCTCTAACAGAGACCATAAGCCCACTATACTCGGGTCTTAAACCTCGAGTAATAATGCGCCTCATTCTTGACTCGCTAATTTTTTACTCAGAATCAAGTTGTGAAATTTCATTGCAAAGAGTCTTTACCTTGAGAAAATATTAGCTGATAGTCATTGATCCTTGTGCCACCGTTGCAAGCTCGTTTTCTAGATACTGAAGTTGTGCATCATTTGTCTTCGAAAATAACGCCGTAAATGTGTCCTAGACTGCTTTTGGAGTAATAGCCTCCCGAACATACTCCAATAACTCTTTCTGAACAGTTGTCCTTAACACGAACATCGCTTTTCCAACCTTAATCCGCCACTTTCACAAGGCCGGTGCATTTTCTTCTCCAGGTGACACAATTTCCTTGCCATCAACAGTCTCCCATAGATCCTGTCCTTGAAGATATGCCTCAATGCATATTCGCCAATAATCATAATTATAATAATTTAATTTCTCCATACCACCAATGAAGTTTCCGAAATCCGCCATAACAACTGTGCTCGTTGACTTCTTTAATTTCTCCATACCACCAATGAAGTTTCCGAAATCCGCCATAACAACTGTGCTCGTTGACTTCAACAATCTTTTGTATCAATCTCAATCACTCTTCGTGTCGGTCCCCGAACGACCAAGCTTTGATACCAAATTGTTGAGTCTGACGCACTGGTGGACCCAGAAATACAACCTTTATTGATAATACTCTAGTACACTAAACACTTGTACACAATCACACACTAATACACTTCACTTATCCACTCAAACATACATTCAAGCACTCACACTTTGTGTCTTTCTCACACAAGACCTTAAGACACCTTACACTAGATAGTGCTTGACCACTCACTTTGGCCTCACTCTTCTTTCACTCAATTGTCCAATTACCTAATACATGCACTCATCTTATATTTATACTAGTTAAAGAATTTTCTAGAATACACTCATACTTACCCTACACTCTAGAACAATCTAGATTACTCTAGTACATATTAGAGCTTTCTATTCTTCACTAAAATATTCTAGAACCTTCCGGAACTTTCTAGATTTCTCTAGTTTTTTACAAACTTCTTTAATGTTCCGGAACCTTCTAGGATATTCTAGAATCTTCTCGATTTCTCTAGGTCTTTCTAGAATCTTCTAGATCTTTCCAGAGTATTCTAGATTTATGTAGAAACTTCTAAAATATTCTAGAGAGTGAGGAGAGTGAGTGATGACTCTTAACAGCATCACGTACCAATTATACAGGTAAGCATTAATCCAACAGTAAAAAATATTTGTTTCCCAGGTTCAGAACCTTTTTTAAGGAGTACCAAGGGAACAAAATATCAATAATCTATCTCAGTGGGATAATCACCCAGCATGGAAAAAAGATTCCAAACACAGAGAGAAAGAAATACAGTACTTGTCTATTGCACAGTGGTATTCGTAGTAATTTCATCAAGGCTCATATTCTTTGATGGCATTAATACAGTAAAAGACAGACAATAATGTGATTAAACCATAACTTGGTGTTTATCATCTTGATACCAATCAAATGAACACTAGCAAAGAGCATATAGACCTCGTTTTTCAGTTAATTTGCTTTTACATACAGGTTACTCTGATTATGTTTCATTACAACTCCATATGTCAGTAAAGAAAATTTCCAAGTGCTTAATCCTTAACAAACAGATTGCAATATTCAGATAAGGAACACGGATCCTCACAATATAACTTTTATACAAAACTATGAGGAATTCATCAAGAAAACTACTAATAGTAGCTTATACGAACAGTCAGCTTGCCTGTGGAAATTTTGCTGCGCATACAATATAATCTGACAAATTGAGCAGATCGTCCAACCCTTCCCTTTTCCTTTCTGCATCAATTAAAATGGGTATACTCCTGCACTTTGCCTGCACTGGATGAATTGAAGAGATGCTGTTTATTTCCTTTTTGTCAACATAATTTTTTATTATAATTATGTAAATGAGAAATAGCTGCAAGTATGATAAAGTATGGGAAACTCGACTGAGATGCGTCAGAACTTTAGAGGACACTTCTATCCCCCTTCGACTACTTTCTTTGGGGGATTTGTAGTATTATAAACATACTACCATTTACCATCCAGTTGTTTCTATTTTCATTTTCTTCTTTCCATTCCTCTACGAAGGATACCTTGTCCTTTGATGACAAGAAGTAGTTCCCAATCTAAATTTTACTGATGAAATTGCACTATCTATGAGCATGTATGGAAAAGGCAAGTATTCCTATCACCCTCCCTAAGCCAAAGTTCTACAACTAATTTACTCCATCTTAGCTATCCTCCCAAGTTCATCTTTTAACTAGTTTGAAGGCAGAAGAAATGGTATTTACCTCCTGTGCAATAACTAAAGCTGTTTCGTGCAATCTTCCATCAGAATAGACAAGTCTCACTCCATCCAAAGCAGATAACAAACTTGACTTGGAAAGGTCATCAGGTATCATTGGAGGGAATCCAGGAGTATGAATACAAGTGCGAGTTTTCCTGAAAGTGCCATTCAATATTTATTCTCCCAGATATGCAACTTGTAAACCAGCCTTGCTAGATGTTTAAGAATAGAAACTAAAAATAAATTTCTAATAAACATTTGAAAAATGCCTGATAAGTGCAGCCAATAACCCTCACTTTCATCCAGTTTCCCCACTACCTACTGGTTTAGTTCCCCAGGAAATACAAATTATAATTTTGTTCAAAACACCACAACTTTTAACAATGAAGAACAATACTTCTTCTATCATATTTATCTTCCAAATCCGACCATAAAAAATGGGGGGAAAACACAAAAGCAAAGACCCTCACGTCTGGTTGTCAACAATGATATAGGTAAATGGAGAATTTCCCTCCTTGGAGACCTGGAACCAAGATAAATCGAGTCAGAAAAATCACAAAGAAGAAAGATGGCAATCTCATGTCGCAGAGCTACCTGTCACACCCCTGAAACACACAAAATGAATTTACAGAGTCAGGTATAGAGAATACAGGTTAGAGAATTATGTAAAACAAAGGGCCTGGGGCTTCTTTGGTATTGGGGAGGGAAACTTAGACAAGGGTAAGGGTGCCCTCCAGCATTTAATTTTTACAAGCGTTGAAAAGATTTAAAAGTTTAAAATAAAAAGAAAGCAAAAATTTTTGACAAGCTTCAAGCTATGTGGTTCAAAACAGAATCACCATATTTGAGGTAAATAGCTCACACATTCAACTCCGAGAGAGGATCATGCTCCATAGCACAACAATTAATTAGAATATGCAGACCTATCAAAATGCTGACAACCTTATGACCTCAATAAAATCTAAAACTTAACCATATGCAATATTTACTAACGCTATGTTTGGTTGGTGGATTTGGGAAGAGATTTGGAAAGGGAAAAGGAAAAGGTAAAGGTATGTAAAATATAAATAAAATATACCTACATTTCACATAGTTTTACACACTTTTTTCCTTTCATTTTCCAAATTCCTTCTCAAATCCCCCAACCAAACACAGCGTAATTTGAAAAGTAAACTTCCAGTATATTAGATACATGCGTACTGAAATTTTGATAAATTGAGACACATAAGATAGGAAGTTGAATAGAATTGAACAGAATATATAGGATAAAATGACTAAGAGTTTAAATTCTTAAACAATTATAGCATATAAACCATGTAGTCAGTAAAATACTGAACAATAATCACCCACTAGGCCACTTCAAAATAGATAAAGATAGCTTACAATTCTTTTCGAACTTACTTTTTTTTTCTTTTTTTTTTGGATCGAGTAAAACATCCCAAACTACATAGAATTAGAAGATAGGCACCTAACAAGACCCATAGGTGGTTGGGCAACCCAATCAGTGGGCAGAGAATTGTGTAAATAAGCAGAAGCAACCCAATGGGCTGCTCTATTTCCCATTCTAGGACACCACAGAAAATTCAGCTGCCGACTCGTGGCCATTGATCGAACATCATTGAGCAAAGCAAGAAGCTCCCACGGAGGGACCCCTTCAGATACACAAAGGTGAATCACAGATTTACAGTCACTCTCAATGTCTACTGCAGCAAGGTTGAGAGCACCTGCCATAAGACATGCATGCCGAACTGCCAACAATTCTCCTTGAGCAACTGACCTCACTCGGACCTTGCAGACCATGCCATCCACCAAGATGCCCAGGTGATCCCGTAGAAGGACTGCTACTGCACCAGTTCCTTGCCTCAAATCAAAGGCCGCGTCGCAATTGAATTTCCACTTTCCTCGAGGAGGAGGAACCCATGCAGACCCTGTGTTGTTCACACCTGTTACTGCCAGAACAGGGGTAGTGGTCACAGTACAGGTGGCCAAGAATTCAGCTTCATTGTGCTTGGCCTTCCGGATAACTCCTGCTGGATCAACCAGGCAGCGGTTGAACAGATGATCATTGCGGCCCTTCCAAATAGTCCAAGCCACCCAAATCATGGAACAAATCACAGATTTCCCCCAACTAGAAGTCCCCAAAGATGTAAAGCAATTCCCAAACCAATCTCAAACCGAGAGGCTGCCAAGATCGTCACATCGAAGGCCAAGATTACACCCAAACCAAACTCTTTTAGACCAATCACAGTCAAATAAAAGGTGTTCAATAGATTCAGGGGCTGTCAAACACACGGGACAGCAAGCCGTGTTGGCACACCGTTTAGGAAAAAGATTTTGACAAGTAGCCAGTGCATTATGATATATTCTCCAGACGAAATGCTTGAGCTTAGGAGGTAAATTCAAATTCCACACAAACCTCCATTCTTTCTCCGACCAACACATAGAAGAGGATGACAGATTGGAACCCAAGTGCGCTTGGTTCACTGCTTCATGATATCTCGATTTAACCTTATAGCAGCCTTTTGAGTCATGGTGCCAAATAAGAGTATCATCCTTATCCGCAACTGAAATTGGAATAGACAGAATAGCATCACAGTCTGCTCCAGACACTAAGCTTTGAAGCTTCCTTTCGTTCCACTGCTTGTGCAAAGGGTTGATGACCTTATTGACCTTTTGTACCGAAACCCCACCATGCATCACTGTTTGGACACGAAATCCTGGATTAGATGGTATCCACTGGTCTTCCCAGAGATTGATGGACTTACCATTCAGAACTTGCCACCGTAAACCTCCTGAAAGAATGTCCCTTCCTCGAAGTAAACTGAGCCAAGCCCATGAAGGTCGCGCCCCTCGCATGGCATGACAAAATCTGAGTTGGGGTAGTAAATCCCTTTTATAATTTTTGCAAATGAGGAATTCGGGAATTTAATTATTCGCCAACCTTGCCGAGCGAGGAGAGCTCTATTGAAAGCCCGAAAATCTCGGAAACCCAAACCACCCTTTCTTTTCGGCAAGCACAATTTATTCCAACTGGCCCAATGTATACCTCTCCCCTCTGGATCCCCATTCCACCAGAAATTCCTAATATAGGAGCTCAATTTATCACACAGCTTGTTGGGAAGCAAGAAACAGGCCATAGCATAAGTAGGCATTGATTGGGCAACCAACTTAATGAGGACTTCCTGACCTGCTTGGGAAAGCAACTTCGCCTTCCATCCTTGCAATTTGGACAGCACTTTCTCGCATAAGAAATTATAAGCTTCAACCTTAAAGCGACCCCAGCACAACGGTAGGCCCAAGTATCTTGCATCAGCATGCATCTGCAGAATACCAAGCAAGCCACTCACCTCCATCCGTCGAGATATAGGAACATTACTTGAGAACTGCACTCCCGATTTGTCAAAGTTAACTGATTGCCCCAAAGCGCGTCCATAGATGTGTAGCAATCTGCTGATTTCAAGACATTCCACCCTGTTGGCCTTGACAAAAAGTACCTCATCATCCGCAAAGAACAAGTGTGACAATAATGGACAACCCTGTCAAATTCGCAGCCCAGTCAATTTCCCATTGTGAACACTTCGATCAATCAATTTCGAAAGCACATCCAAGACGAGGATAAACAGATATGGGGAGAGAGGGTCCCCTTGACGGAGACCACGGTGAGGTTTAAAACTAATCCGTTTGGCCCCATTAACGAGAACTGAAAAGGAGACTGTGGTGACGCACTCCACCACCCATTGAATCCATTGGGAATGAAACCCCATCTTAACCAACAAGGCCTTTAGAAAATTCCAATCCACACGATCATAAGCTTTGTTGAAATCCACTTTAATCACTACATCCTCCACCTTCCCTTTTCAAAGTTTCATTGCATGGAAAGCCTCATGAGCCACAATGATATTGTCTTGGATCAACCTTCCCCCCACAAAAGCCGACTAATTTTGCGAGACCACTGAACTTAGAATCCCCTTCAATCAGTTGGCAAGAATTTTGGTTATCACTTTCATGTTAAAATTGCACAAGCTTATTGGTCTGAATTGCGCTAATGTTTCTGGAGCTAGCACTTTGGGAATGAGTACCAAGTTCGTGTGATTGAGCTTCTTCAACAAAAAGCCCCCCTGAAAGAAACTCTTCACCGCATAACACAAAGAGGGCCCTACAATATCCCAATGGTGCTGATAAAAATACCCTGGGTAACCATCCGGTCCGGGAGCTTTCAAAGATCCAAGTTGAAAGGCCGCTGTTTTAATCTCCACATCTAAAACATCTCAAATCAGCATCGAGTTCATTTCATTAGATATAACTCTATGAACCACAACTAGAGCTTCAGTCATCTCACCTCTATCACTGTCGAAAAAAAGAGTCGAGAAATAAGTAAACATGTGAGAATTAATTTCCGACTCCAAATTCAAGAGGCTGCCATCACCAGATTTCAATTGCAAGAGTTGGTTCCGTTGGCGACGTTAAGTGATTGTAGCATGAAAAAAAGCAGAATTACGATCACCAAAATTGAGCCAGCGCCCGAGAACGCTGATGAAGGTACATCTCCTCCCTCCTCAAAACCGATTCCAACTTGTAAGATAACTGCTTGTGATGCGCTTCATTTGTCATTGAGTAAGGCCAACTTTGTAAGTAGGCTATCTGACCCCGGAGATTTTCAATGTGCCTTCTCCCATTACCGAACTCCTTGACACTCCAGGCCCATAACCTGCGTCGGCTTCTTTTTAGCTTTTGCACAAGTTTGAACATCTGAGAGCCCGCTTGATCATTATCCCATTCCGATTGAATTGTAGCTGCACATGCTGGGCTGGTGGTCCACAAAGTTTCAAAATGAAATCTTCTAGGCACCCGAGCAAGAGGGACACAACAATTAAGGACCAATGGACAATGGTCCGAGCCGAAACAAATATCGTGGAAAACTTGGGCATTCGGGTATATGTCTCTCCAATCAACTGTAGCCAAGGCCCGGTCTAATCTCTCACGAACATTATTCTCACCCTCCTAGTTGTTAGACCAAGTAAAAGCATTCCCTTTAAAGCCCAAATCTACCAGGTTGCAATCCGAAACCATAACTTGAAACTCACTAAGCTGAGAGGCTCATTCCCGACCACCCTGCTTCTCCAAAATAGAACCCACTTGGTTGAAGTCACCAACACATAACCACGGGTATTGCATTCCCATAGCCATATCACATGAGTATTTCCATAATGCTCTCCGTTCCCGCCGTCGAGGAGGGGCATAAATAAAACATGCAGCCCAACTCCTTCCTGCCATTGGCGAAAAAATACACCGAAAAATATTTTGGGATTTAGACCGGATATCTAACACTACCCCATCCATCCACCAGAGGGCTAGACCGCCGGAGGTGCCGATAAGATCAACATAACAACTATTCGAAAAATTGAGGCTCTGCCTGATTCGATCTAGCTTGGCTCTCTTATTCTTTGTCTCCATTAGAAAGATCACTGAAGGCCGATGGGTTGTACATAGCCCTCGTAAGACCTGGACTGTCAGGGGACGGCCCAACCTCTGACAGTTCCAACTGATAATTAACATGAATCTTGTGGCTGTTTGGGGTTAGCCACCACCACCCTTTTGTTATTACCAAACGTATCCGCCTCTCCGACGGCCGAGTTCGAAAACAAGCCAAGAACCTTTGTGCAACAGTCATTATCCGCCAAAGAAACCACACCCACAGGCACAACACCCCCTGGGCTCGGAATGACAGCAGTGGTTGCAGTCTGAATTGGGATGTCAACAAGGGGAACCTTCTTCAAACGACTTCCTCTCCGAGATATAGCCCTTGGTTTTGGCTTTTGAGTAAAGACACAGAGAGCCTTGGGGTCATCTACAACATTGTCTATTTCCGAATCAGCCCCTTTCAATTTTTTCAGCGGGACAGGGTCACGGAGGTCCTCCTCACTGAGCTGCCTCTTCAAAGATAAATAGGTGAACACCTGGGAAATACTTGAGTCTATAAGGGAATCACTAGGCCTTGGCCTCTCAGGACTTGGGCTGGGACTAAGTTCTTCCACACTTAAACTAGAATAAGGCGTGAAATAGAAGACACAGCTTCAAAGGGCTCTGTAACAAAATATGAGGCTTTGGGCCTCAGCACCGAACACTCCATAAGGGGGCCCAAATTTGTATGGTCCATGCCTACCACTTCAACTGGCCCAAGATTTAAATTGCAAATGTGAGATGGTCCACTTACCGGATTTAAGGCATGCGAGGAGGGGTCCAGTAAAGATGAAGGTTCTAGAGGAGAGCCTGACGTGCATGGACGTGATACCTCAGACTGAAAAAACTCTGTAGCCCCCAATTCCACTACCCTATTTTGTGCTGATTGTACCTCCGCATTCTCATCCAGGTTTTGCGAGCTGGGCGCAGCTGACCCACTCGCTGCAACCCCTTCGTCCCTAATCGAACGCGCTGCCGCAGCGCCTATCGGAATACTCAAAGGTTGCATAGACTTATCCCGATCAGCACGAAGCTCCTCCATAGGTCTCCCATTCGGGCTACAAAGCGAAGTCACGCTTCTAGCAGGCCCTGTTCTTTGATTCGAACCATAGCCAAAGTTGCGCCCCTCCTCCCGTGACACAAATTTGCAGGACAAGTTGTCATGCCCAATGCGACCACAATCGTAACAAAACTTAGTCAGCTTCTCATACTTATAAAAAACTTTGACACCATCCCCAACTGGCCCCAAGCTATCACGGCAATATAAAATGAACCCCTGTAGCAGAGGTTTAGTAACATCTACCTCGATACGTAGCCTCAAAAAGCTATAATGTATAAGAAGGCCGTCTAAGGGAGCTTCAACCTCAACCAATCTGCCAATCCTATTTCCGATAACCTCCCCATGAGCACGAGTCATTTTTTCGAAAGGTAGACCATGAACCTGAACCCAAAAAGGGCTCCATCGAAAATCCAATCCCCGGCTACAGTGTCTGAAGGACCAAAAGACTCCATAACAGACCACGGGGCCTCCAAGAGAACCCTAGAACGATCCTCCAAATCTTCAAACTGAAAGAGATAGATGTTCTCCTTCCAAGGAGTAATAGAGACACCTGCTCTGGTCTTCCAAGCAGTAAGAAGGATTTTAGTAACAGCTAGTTTGTTCAAGATTTTGGGAGCAAGAATCTTCCTTACTAGACACCGGTGTGAGACATCCTCACACTCATCCGTGACCTCCGGCAGCTCGAAAGACTCCATACTCCACCGAAGTCACCTTCAGTCGACCGACACAAGTAAAGAAAACTAAGTAGAGACACCAAGGGATAAACCCTAAAAACTACCAGTAGGCAGAGAGCGCTCTCAGTTTAGAGAGAGAAAAACTTTTTTTTCTTCCTATATTGACATAACATCATATCATGTAGTTTTTCGAACTTACTCAAATAAGAAAATCAAATCACATGAATAAATGGTTCATAAATCACGAGTGGCATAGTATTTTCCAGCTTACCACAAGAAAAGAAGCATCTACACCGTCAGCTTCCAGTTCCTCTAGGATTCCTCTCCCTTGAGCATCATCAGCAACCTAGAGGAACACTAATATTATGAATGTGAGGGTAAAAGACCCCTGACAGTTATATAATGAATTAATAAAGTAATATCAGATGCTAAGATATTAGTAATGTTGTATGGCTCCTTTTGTTCTTAAGACAATTCCAGGAAAGGGAGTTAGAATCTATAGACACCTTTATGGAGATATTACTTAATGTTACTACCAGAGATGATGTAAATGATTTCATATGTTGGAGGGCTCAACAAAAGGGCTTTAAAGTGCAACTCTGAACGCCACTTTGAATAATGATAACCTTAAATTGAGGGGTCATTCTCTCTGAAATTGTTGTTATAGTGGTTGCTACCTATTTAATGGGCTGGCTTATGCTGCACTCTGTCAGTGACGTGCCCGGTAGTTGGAGGGCTATTATGGACTGGAGGAGCATTAATGAAGTGCACAAGGCAATCCATTTACAAGTAATACATGGTGCTTCTAGAATGAGAGCAACAGGCAATCACTCTCCCTTTACACCTGTTAAAGGTAGTGTTATTGAGAAGTTTGTTGTTTTGGGTATAAGTTCTTTAGTTAGAGTTTTCCGGTGAAAAACCATTTCCTTCTTGATCTTGGTTTTGTCCTCTATGCTATTCACGAATATAGGTTATGCCCATTTTGGCACTTTTAATGGGATGTTACTTATCACAAAAACAGAATAGGCCAAATTTAAAATTTTAAAAATACAAAATCCTCATATTAAATGACAACCTTTTTATGCCTTCTTGTTTTAAATTTGTAATTTTTTTTTAAAAAAAAAAATTGTCAGCAATGACTACAACATTATTTGAGCAACAATAAGTTATTCATTCAACTGAAATGATGTATTGATTATTTGATAATAGAAATCTAAGACCAAAACATCATTTTATGTTTACAATAATTTATATAATTTTTAGGATCATCATCTATGGACAAGACTAGTTTGTTTAAAATTACTGCAGTCAAATTACAGTTTGTAGAATGTACAATCAGGAGTTGAATAAATAAATAAGGATCACGGCAAAAGCACAGGTAATTAACAACTGAAATTGATTACATATTACCTTTGAAATCAGCCTTGGGTTTAAACCCAAACGAGCTGCACATGTTAGAGCATTTCCCGCATTTCCACCTCCTTGAAGCTGCAAAGTAAAAACATCAAAACATGATTAAAGTCCCTTATTAGCTTAGCTAGCTTGTTCATAAAATAGATAAATTAACTCCCCCACAAACCAAAAATAAAAAGAAGAGGTAAGTATATTGGAGAAACACACAAACCCCATATTGAAAAATTCAAATTATAGAATGATGAATGTAAACAACTTTATATATATATATTTAAAAAAAAAAAAAAAAAGCCTAAATTATAAAGTAAAAAAAGAGTTGGGTACCTTCAAACTGGTGGTTCTGATCTTGTCGTCTGGCTTGGGGTAAGCAGCCACAGCTGCCAAGAAGTCCACTCCCACACCACCGCATCCTAGCTGCTAACATACGCATATCACAGCACTAATAACAAAAATCTCTCATATGGCTCCCCAATTGATGTGCGCATGTTACAAAATGCATTCAGTATACATTATACATATATATGTGTGTGTGTGTAAAAAAAAATTAGAGAGAGAGAGATAGAGAGAGAGAGAGAGGAACGTACGACGATGCGATTATGAGGGAGAGGAGAAAGCGGAAGAGATGGGGAGGAATTGGGAGAAGAGTGAGTGGACATTATTTTGGACCTGGTTGTGGAAGCGAAGAGAGAGAAAGTGGGGCGTGAAGGAGGAGGAGGAGGAGGAGAGAAGAGAGAAGTCATAGAATTGAAAACAATGGTGGTGGTGGCGGTGGTGGTGGTGGTGGGACGTGTGTAGAGTATTGCCATAGAAATCAGGATGGCAAATCACACGAAACTCTTCAGTGGCTCCGGTGCACGGTGGACGGAGACTGCTGATTGTGATTGCAGATGTATTAGCCCTTCGCCTTTGGCTTTGCTTGGGAAGGCTCTCTCTCGACAGTGGCTAGAGTTGGGGCATGTTTGGTAATGTTTAAAATCACAAAACAAAACAAAACAAAACAAAAGTTAGAAGCATTATTATTGAGTGATGCTATTAACACATCGTGAATTGTTTTAGGCTTTTTATTTTTTTTGTGCCGTCACTTATAAATTTTAAAAGAGTGATGTTATTAGCACTTATCAAAATTCTTTGAACTCCTCATTTTATAATTTTTTTTATTACAATTATACCTTAAAGTAAAATTACATTAAAAGACATTATTAAATGGAATACCCACCTATCAATAAGAACTAATACTCTATAATATTGGACACCCACCCCCAACTCCAACTCTGACTATACGTATCCCATGTTTGTAAACCTTAAACCTATTACTTTTCATAACCAACTAACATAAACCCTAAATCTATTATTTTTCATAATCATCTAAAATCCTAAATGTGTCATCTTTATCACTATCATCAACGCTATTAAACTTGAAAGTTTTGTTTCAAGTATAACGTATACTTCATCACTTATTTCACTGTGTAGAACAATGGAGGACGATGACAACATTCTCGGTCGTTTATCTGTCTTGTATTAACATTCTCGGGCGTTTTCGGTCGTTCTTGTTTCGTTCGAGTTATTCGGTACTGGTTTGCTGACTGTTAGAATTATGTTCGGTAATACAGTACTGAACATAATCATTTCGTTCAATACATAGGTTCCGAACATTAATGCAGATAGTCAGTTATGCAATTTTCTTTGTTAAACTAACTTAGAATGGAAAATAGTGAATTGGAATGGATTTAAGTTATGTATTTTGAATGGATTTAATTCATGTTATTTTAAGTTGTGAATTGGAATGGATTCAAGTTACACAGTGATGAACAAATTTTGTTCGGACAAACAGTGCTAACAGGATCATTTTTGTTCGACAAAACAGGTCTGAACAAAATACATTTTTTCGGCTACACAGTGGTGAACAAATTGGGTGGGTGTGCATTTCATTGTGAAAATATGGAGATTAGTTTTCTATTCTAAAAATATTATGGAAATATTATGGAGATTAGTTTTCCATATATATACATTGTTTTCTATTCCTACAATTCGCATCGATCTTCGCTTTCTCATTTGAATTTTCCAATCAATGGCAAATTCCAAAGAGACCCACGTCGTTGAAATCCCAATCGACGAAGAACACCAACCCCATTGTGTTTTCAGGAACCACTTTTTAGATGTGGTTAATGTTGGAGAGAGAAGAGAGAGAAAAAAA